ACATCTGGTGAAAATTTCATGTCATTAGCACCTCTAGTAATATATTTACTGAGAAAAATGGTGACGTGTTCAATACTTATTTTACCCTCTGTATGTGTAGTTTCACTGGTGCACAATGTTTAAGCAGGGATACACAAGTGTTAATGCAAAGATGCAAACTGCTTCAGCAGTTTTACACTGAGGACTGAAAACCAAACTGACTAGAAACATTACTCAGGAAGCTAATGGATTCGGCTGCCCTCCACATTTGACTGGAATAATAATAAGCAACCAAAGCCATGCTGCTGCTGGAACAGGCCACGTTTTCCATAACAGAGGAAACTGGTCATCATTGAGGGAGACAGGGTGGTGGATTCTGGACAGTGTTGGGTAAAAGTACCACAGACTTCTCACTCTCTTTCCTTCTCTCTCACTCTCTTCGTAGAAAAGAAGGAAAAAAGCCACATCTGCGCTTGTGTCCCATTAATAATCACTATTTATACTCGCAGAGCTAAACAGAGAGGCAGCCTGCGTCGCCCCAGGCCCGTCCGGGGAGAAATCCTTGTGACCGGGCCTCCCTGAAGCAGCTCCTGATCAAAGTTCTCAACCAAAACTCAATCATCTGCATCTCTGATCGAGGATAAATTGTGCCTCACCACATCAGTCTCATTATATCGTGTGGCAACAGATGGATTTGTAAAAAATAAAATTAATCTAAATCTTTAAAAGTTTGAACCAAGCTTTACTTTTTACTGTTTATTCTTTTTCTTTTCAGCACTTCTTCAGTTCATTGAAGTTTGCAGACAATGGTTTCAGCACATCGCTCCTTAGGTCCAACCACAGCATTTCTATCAGTTTGAGGTCTAGACTTTGACTGGACTGTCACAACTTGATGTGTTTTTTTTTTCTTTTAGCTGTTTGCTGCTGTGTTTGGTCCAAACTTCAGCTGTCAGACAGATGTTCTCTTTAGGATACTTTAATATGTAGAGAAGTTCACAATGTATTTGGCTGCAAAACAAGCCCAATCATCACACCTCCACCACCGTGCTTGACAGTTGGAATGAGGTGTTTTTCTGTGTCATTGACATGTCTTTATTTTTATTAGTTTTATAACCAATATGATGAGCAGCATCAGTCACTTCTCTGAGATTGAAAATGTCTTTCCTCCTTGGCGTGGCTGTAACAAACACAYGAAAGCTCCCGAGCAGCAAAACTTCTTCTGTTTTCAAGGTTTACTGACCAATTATCGATGCCATTCAGATGAATTTGATYAAAAGAACTTGTTTACCTTCTTAATTCATCTGAAAGCAGTGAGGATCAACTTGGTTAAATATTGATTTAGTTTATTTTTGCCATGACTGCACTGGTTTAGCTGACTTTGTTTTAAGCTTTATTGTAAATTGTGCTTTGATAGGTACTCTCTAAAACACAGTATTCTACATGAGCTGTCATCTACAATAGTTATTGTGTCCAAGTCGTGGAGGAGGAGAGAGGACAACAACCAAGCAAAACAAGAAAAGAACACCTTCAGTAGGACATGGGTTATTTGTTGATCGTGTAGCCGTGGTCACTTGAAGGGCAGCAAACAGGATGACTGTAGAAGCCGCAGATGTTCAACGCCAGGCAGGGCTTCTCACATATTATCTCAGGGAAACCGAGCGCATGATTTGGATACCACATGTGCAACCTGCTTGGGAATGGTTCGCTTCGGAAATGCTCAACCATAAATTGAATTTGTAAGCTTTTCACTGACACGGTAAACACTGAAAGCCTGAGATTAATGCTTAATCGAGCCGTCTGAAACTATTAAGACTTGCTTTGAAATAGTTAAAACATGGACGTATTTTAAAATTTGACAACAGTAATGAACAAAGAGCCTGCCTGAAGTAAGTCAGAATAAACAGGTAATAATTCAATATAAAAGAGTGAATTGGCACGGTTCAGAGCTGCAATATGGATCTTCACACTTTAAAGGTAAATTAAACAGTTTCAAATATTTGTTGAAGCTCCATTAACTTTGTACACAATAACTATAAATTAATTAATAATAAGCTTAGAGGGTTCTTTAAATGTAGCCGTATAAACAATTGAAGGAAAATAAATTAAAAATTTAATAGAGGTCATAGTGGCAGGAATCTTAACCAAATATATTTTGTTTAAAGAAGTATACCTCAAGTATATGCCATTGAGTATACTTAGCATAGTAAAGTATATTTTCCCATGTTGTTTACCAGTACACCTTTAGATTTTCAATTTCAGGTAATATAAACTTTGTTAATTATTTGTCTAATCATTTATAAATAGTAAACTGAAAGTAAACTCTCTTGTTTTTATTTTAAAATTAGTCATCTTAAATGATTCTTGAGTTATATGACAAAAAAAGGAAAATCACCCTTTTGGACGTCAAAAGTCAATAACAAATCTTCTTGAATGAAATAATTAATTTAAAGAAAGAAGGAAAAGAAATGTTGGTAAGGGGTCAGAGCGCGTTACCTCCTCCAGGATCTGGTCCAGTCGCCCCAGAATCAGAGGCTCCACCTGCTCCTGAGCCAACATCCAGGCGGAGAGCTGCTGCTGCTCCAGACTCGCGATCCGGGAGCGCATCTCCGAGCTCCGCACGATCACAAACACGCAAACTCCGAGGCACGCGACGCACATCGCGAAGCAAACCGTCAGCCCGGACACGTGCGTCCAGCTCGTCCGCGGGGGCTGTTCGGAAGGATCCGCGCGCGTCGTCCTCCTCCTCTCCTCACCAAGTTTCCACTTCTGYTCCTCTTCCATTCTAAACATCTGACTTCAGTTGGATCCACACAAAAACTCCTTCAGGGATCAATACGTTTGCACGGCTTTGGAGCTTCTGGGAGGCTGTTTCTTTATAATCCCGATGTCCTTTGCTTGGATATGTCTCCAAACTACCTTGGTGCGCTCGCACACAACACGCACGTGAGCAGCTACAGTGAGGTCAGGTTCGGAGGCATTCTGAAGCCTGTGCAGTCAGTGATGTCCCGGCTGGAGTTCCTGTCTGTGCGCTGCGCTCCGTCTGATCCGACCAACGTGCTGCAGGTTTGAGGTCTGAGCGCGTCTCTGAAACCCGAGCTAGCCCTCCTCTCCTCTCTCCTCTCCTCTCTCCTCTCCTCTCTCCTCTCCTCTCCTCTCCTCTCCTCTGGATGCCGCCGGGCCCTGTGCTCACGCTCCTCCTTTGAGGAGGCTTTAGGTTAAATACCGGAGCTGCTCTCTTTGATCCGCGCACTCGGTTGGAGATATTTTTAGGGGCGCRCAAAGCCAGGACGCACAGTCACAAAGCCAGTGTGTGTGCTGACAGGGCTGCCGAGCTCCGGATCTGAGCTACGAGGCTGGGCTTTCTTTGGTTCCTGTTCCGACCTGAGAACCTGATGGAGTTTTGTGAACAGTAAAGTCCAACCTGACGTTTTTGCCCTCCATGGTTTCACATCATCACTGATGGCCAGAGGGGTCAAAAGTATTCACATTCATTACTTAAGTAGAAGTATAGATACTAGGGTTTAAAAAAATACTTTTTTTGAAAGTAAAAGTATCAACTCAAGCTTTTTATTCAAGTAAAAGTATAAAAGTACTGGTTTTAAAACTACTTAAAGTATAAAAGTAAAAGTAATGAACACTTAAAAAAGTGTTTTATTGCACAGTGATTTCCAAACAGTGGTACGTGTACCCCTGAAGGTACACGAGCATATTACTGTGGGTACGTGGTAAAATTTCCCAGGTGTGTAAAAAAATAAATAAAAATAGGACTGAGATATGTAGGGCCCTATGATTTCCACAATGCAGAAAATGTAGACAGAATCATGGAATTAACACAAAMTGGAATCAAAAACCAGCATCTCACAGAATTTGTTCATTTGGGCGAGTTTCTGATGATTTTTTTCACCTGTCATTACCTGGTTTATTTATTTAATTACTTATTCACTTTCAAGGTAACATTTAAATTTTTGTTTAATTTGAGTTGAAAAGAATAAAATGCCTGAGAATTAACTGTTCTAGGGAGTTAAATAAATAATTWTCATTTAATAATCAGTTGTAGTACATTATAGTTTTGGATAATCATCATTACATGTTTCTGAGGGGGTACTAGTAGTATGACGAAATGGTTCAAGGGGGTACACAAGTCCAAAAGGGTTGAACCACTGCTATAGCGTTACCCCMCCCACCCCCATTGTGATTTGTGTCATACAGGTGTGATGGAGTGAGTTCAATTCAATAGGATGTCAGAATTTATATTTACACTTCTCATCCAACCACAATCAAATTCACTTTATCCATGGGCTCCATGTATCTGGATAGATTTATATTGATATATTTCTGAACAGTGAAAAGATGGAATAAAATCAAGTCAAAGTTAAATAGAAATAAAATACCTTTTTGCATTTTTAAAAAGTAATGAGTAGAAAGTACAGATAATTGAATTAAAATGTAAGAAGTAGAAGTAAAAAGTAGGCTGAAAAATAATGAATCCACTAAAGTATAAATAACCAAAATTCATACTTAAGTAAAGTAACACAGTATTTGTACTTAGTTACTTGACACCTCTGCTGATGGCTGTTAAAGGAATAAGACTGATTTACACTCTAGAAAAAATATGTAAAATGTTGAATCCAGTAATTAAAATTGTCAGTGTCWGTTTATTCACATAGCACATAAAAAACAACAAAAGTTGACAAAAATGCTTCAGTTCTATGTAAACAAATAAAAAAACAACAACAAAGAAACACAAATGTTCGAAATAAGTCAAATTAATATATACAACATAAAAACATTAGCTCTAAAAGAATCTTAAACTCAGAATCAAAAGAGTTGTGAGCTTTTAAAGGTCTGAAAGGTCTCAGCAGTCGTTTACCAAAAGGTAAATGATCCCACAGGTTTGGGCCAAAGGTTGCAAAAGCCCGATCACCTCTGAACGTTTGTTCTGATTTAGGAACGTCTAAAAGAAACTGGTTGGATGACTGAACTTTTTAACTGGAGCGTGAATCTTCAGGGATTGTCTTACTCTTTTTAATGACTTTCTCACATACATCACACATGACTTGAACATGTTCCTGTTTTATATAAACTTAGCACTGCTGAGWATGTTGGTTGTGCACAAGAGGAAATTGCCAAATCTTCTCTGCCATTGCCAAACAGCTTATTATTGACATTTCTTTTGAGTTTTTGCTACCCCAGGTRCTGCCAATTATGCGCCTGATTGGCAGTCTCATTACAGAGAGATATCGAGATGAAATTCTGCAACCAGTGGCAATCCCATGTCTCCACACTCTGGGATCAAACTCCAAGATGACAACGCTCGCAGACTGTGGTTTATCAACAACTAGAATTTGGGAGTGGAGATGATGGAATGGCCTGCCAGCAGTCCTGACATTGACCCCATCGAACACTTGTGAAATCAGCTATTGTGCCAGAGTGACCAACACAACCACTTTGGCTGACATGGGACAAACGCTGGTTGAAGAATGGGATGCCAACCCACAGCAGTGTGTGAYGAGGTGACCAGCATGAGGAGGAGGTGCCAGGCTGTTGTGGCTGTATATGGTTCTTCCACATGCTGCTGAGGCCCCTGTTTTTTAAGGGGGCAATATCATGTAAAATCAACTTTTTGGACTTTTATATCATGTTATATTGTTAAACTCTCATAAAAAACATGCCCAAAGCCTTGCTTTGACTCATTCATGCATGTTTCAGAAATCCTGCAGCGTTTTTAGGAAGCCATGCTGAGGAGCAAAACGACAGATGGGGACCAGAAACGCCCCTGGGACGTGTCTTTAAGCCAAACTTCCTCATGGCAGAGCACCCTCTCCCCCCACACACCCCGCCCAGGACTCCTGCAGGCTCTGGGGTGAAAAACAAAAGTGAAACCTAACTGTCTGCTGAGCTCACAATTACTTCTCACTCAGTGAAGCTCTTTTCAGATTAAAAATACTTTTGAAAAAATGTATTTTCAGATGCCAAGTAAAATGCATCATAACAGGCACTGTCCCCCTTGCGAGCACACCCCCCCCACCCCCACCCGCACTGAAATGGGCAAAACTGAAGTGGAAGGATGTTCTTAAAGAGACAGAGGCCAATTTCAAGGCGTTTAGAAGAAGATATGAGGAGAAGTCAAGTTTAATTTCTATTTAAACATATAAACTACTTTTGAAAAAATGTATTTTCAGATGCCAAGTAAAATGCATCATAACAGGCACTGTCCCCCTTGCGAGCACACCCCCCCCACCCCCACCCGCACTGAAATGGGCAAAACAGAAGTGGAAGGATGTTCTTAAAGAGACAGAGGCCAATTTCAAGGCATTTGGAAGAAGAAGTGATGAGAAGGTGAGTTTAATTTTTATTTAAACATACAGTAAGATAAATTGTTCTACATTTTCATCTTGTAAAAACAGCCATCCAAATGCCTCAACAATCTCAGCATGGCAACCAGTAGCTCCAGTGGTGCTCTTGCCTCAAGCGTCCACAGGCATGACTTAAATCCACACCTTTACATGTGCAGCTATAGGTGACAATCCTGCAGGGCCAAACTGATGCAGTGCCACTGCTTGGCCAGTGAGAGTGGCAGAGGTTTCTGGGTTTAAATGCTGGATGAGCCCTCAAGATGTGTTCTGGTCCATATGTAACTAAACAACTCAAAGGAGACCAGATGACTACAATTAAACATTTTAAATAAAAAACAATACTCATAAACAAAACCCAAATAAAATAAAACAGAAAAATATTTGACCCAACCAAGCAGTTGACCATCAGATTAAATCTGCGATCCCCACACTCAACCTAAGAACCAAATTTGTTAAAACACCACTGTTGTAACTCCACAACCCAGCCAACACTTCATTGAAACTACGATTAAAAATCAGGATTTGGTTTCTTCAGTCGGAGGAGGGAGTGGAAGCCTGCGTGGAGACAGACTTTTAGTGACAAGTGATAAATTCAGGGTTTCTACTGAACACATTTGGGTGCTGTAAGCTGCCTGCAGCTGGTTTACTGTATATCTTTTACATCTTACCCTATCCTGATCAATAACTGAATTCTATAGCACACAGTTTATTGGCCTCTATTTTTGCACCAATTATATATATATTTTTTACCAAACTAAACAACATGTGATAAAATGCAACACTCATTCTGACTGCATCATACTTTATTCAATGTTTCTTATCCCTAAAATAGAAAAAAAGGTTTCACACCAGTGTTTTTAATTTTTAACACAGCAAATACTGTACATGCAATGCCTGCAAGTTTGAATGTGTTTGAAATCTAGCTCGTTACTTTTTTGTGGTGTTGCTGTTTATTATTTATTTATTTATTTTGTTGCAGCTGAAACTGTTTTTCATTCTTCAGAAACTAAAAGAGTGCAGATATTCATTCAGGATTTCAGTGCAGGCTGGTGATAATGTTTTACCTCGTGTATTTGAACAACTTGACAGAGTTTAGTGAACACGCTGGTTGTACATCTATGGCTGATGAACCTTTGGAGTGTATCCGAATCCAGATAACCACCACAGACTAACCTAACCTAAACCAAAAATATCTCATTAAATAAAACTCATAATGTAATATTGGATGTATATCCATCCGTTCGTTATCTTTACCCACTTCTTCCTTTCTGGGTCATGGGTGGTCACTGGGGCCCATAYCCAGCAGTCACTGTGCGAGGGGCAGGGTACACCCTGGACAGGTCACAAGTCCATCACAGGGACACATAGAGACAAAAACCAGTCACACTCTAACACCTAGGGACAATTTTACTGAGCCCGTGAGGGGACATGGGAGATTTTTTTTCTTTTGCGTTACCTCGCAAAAGTCGTTTATCACTGTTGTGCCTGCCAGTTCATTAACAAACTCACATGTTCACCATTAGTGAGTTAGCCTACTGCTTTAATTCAGCTTCAGAATGAATATATCACACAGCCACGCATGGAAGTATGTCGTTTGCCGAAATTTGAACACAATGCAGCCACGCAACATCAATGTCAATTTCATGAACTTGTGGCGACATGTCCTGTTTTGGTAACCGGATATTTCAAAATAAAAGTCTGATTTAATTCAGTTCATATACAAATCAAACTTTGCGTGGAAAYGCAAAACAATATTGCGAGGTAAC